CGTGTTGTTGGAAAAGCATAAAAAGGTTTATTTTTGTCGTTGTGTTATTGGAAAGCATTTTTTAAAAAAAGCACTTTTTTTTTCAAACCAAACTGCTTTTGATTCCATACAGTACTTAGTGGTCCAAAACCTTTGCATTTGTTTATGTCTTTGTTTAGTCACCAGTTATATATTGAACAATTGTGTATTGATAGGTTTGATTGTTTTGTGGCTTTGTAGGTGAAGATGATAAGTTTACTATTCGAATGAACTATAGGGGTTCTTTATGTGATAACCTGTATGTAAATGGGACTCTGGATTTCATTGATTTTTGCGATAAGGACCAAATGTCTATGTTTGAAATTGGTCTGATGGTTAAGGAGTTAGGCTATGATGGTATAGTGTTATATCACTATGAGCTTCCCAACTCTGCTTCTGTAGAGAAGCTTATGTCTGATGAAGATGTTCTGAATATGTGTGAATGTGTGCCAGGAGTAAGGGAGATAGATATATTTTTGGCACAGTTGGCTGATGACCCTTATGCCTTTTTAAACAAACACAAAGAGATCGAGCTGCAAAGGGTGGAAAGTTCTGGGGTATAAAAATAGAGGTCAATCGTGATTGAGGATATAGGATGTGCTGATTCTATTCCTCTTGTTCCTTATAAGACAAAAAGCAATGTTGAGCAGCCAACGAATGCAAAGGGTAAAACAGTGAAGATAGTGGAGCAAGAACCAGTGGAGGATGTTGAGGATTTTTCAAAACCTAAGGCACCAAAGAATGCAAAGGGTAAAACAGTGGCTGAGGTAGCAAAGAAAGGAAAGGGTAAAATGGTGGTTGAGGCACCAAAGAAGGGAAAGGCTGCAAGGTCTTCAAAGGATAAGGAAGTGGCTGAACTTGAGCCACCAAAGAGTGTAAGGCCTACAAGGTTTTCAAAAGGTAAAGAAGTGGCTGAACCTGAGGCACCAAAGAGGGCAAGGGCTATAAGGGCTACAAGGTCTTCAAAAAGTAAAGGTGTGGCAATGGCAAGTGCAATAGAAGGGGAAGATGGCGATGCATCCTTATCAGATGCATTTAGTTTTGTTGATAGTGAGTATGGGGGGGATAACATTGAAGAGATAGCTGAGGAAACCATATTTTTGCAACAGTGGATTATAGGCCATGCCCCAGTTGAAGATACTTTTCAGCCTGTTGAAGATGAAGAGATAAATGAGGGTGAAAGTGGTGTTGTTAATGAAGGTGGTGTTTTTAATGAGGGTGAAGGTCCAAGTGGGGATCAACCTTTACATGCTGGTTCAAGTGAGGACCACCCTTCACAACTTGTCCAAGTGTGGACCATCATTCCCAGAATGTCAAAATGAAGACCAACCTTCACAGACTGGTCAAAATAGGGAACAGCCTTCTTAGACTACTGATTTTCACCACACAGATCTTGAAGACACCAGATTGGAATAGGGGGATCAAGCATTAGAGGATGAGTTAAAAAAGTGTTCATTCAGATGAAGATAATGAAACAGTTGCAAGGGGAAAAAAATTCAAACACTATAACCATGAAACAAACAAACAAAACCCTGTATTTGATACTGGAATGATATTCAGTGACTGCAAGGTTTTCAGAGCAACTGTTAGTGAATATTGCTTGTTGAGTGGGAAAGAGGTCACTATCACCAGGAATGAAAAGTATGAGCTGAAGGCAGTTTGTAAAGCAATGAGTTGTCCATGGCAGATTTATGTGGCTTGGAAAACCCTACGGATCGAAGCTTAGAGGTGAAATACTATAATCTCAATCACAATTGTGTCAGAGTATTTGAAAACACACAAGCCTCAAGTAAATGGTTGACAGAGAAGTTCCTGCTTAGGATTCAGTCAAATCCCACGATGCCTCCACAGTCTATAATGAACGCAGCCTCTTCTGAGTTTAAAGTAGGTATATCTAGGATGAAAGCTTACAGGGCAAAGGCAGAGGTGCTTCGAATGATTGAAGGATCTGTTGCTGAGCAATATGCCATGCTTTGGGATTATTGCCATGAGCTGGAAAACAAAAACCCTGGCTCCACAACAAAGATGCAGTGTGAGTTTGTTGATGGTGAAACTGTTTTCAAGCGTTTGTACATTTGTTTAGAACCATTAAAGAGAGGGTTTAAGATGAACTGTAGGCCTTTTATTGGGTTAGATGCCTGCCATTTAAAAGGGGTTTATGGTGGACAGCTGCTTACAGCAGTTGGGATCGATCCCAATAACAAGACTTAAGTGCTAGCATATGATGTGGTTGAGATGGAAACAAGGGAGTCATAGACATGGTTCATTGATCTATTGGCCAAGGATGTGGACATTGTTAATTCCCATGGATGGGCCTTTATATATGACAAGCAAAAAGAACTGCCTGGTGCATTTGAAGACATTGTGCCTAATGCTGAGACAAGATTCTGTGTGAGGCACATTTGGGATAACTTCAACAAAATGTATAAAGGTAAAGTATTGAGGGATCAGTTATGGACATGTACTAGAGCTACCAATGTGCCTTGTTTTAAGTATCAAATGGAAGTAATAAAGACCTTAGATAGCAATGCATAGGAGTGGCTTGCTGAGAAGCCACTAACACAATGGAGTAAGTCTCATTGCAAAACACATATTAAGTGTGATATGCTGTAGAATAACTTGCGTGAAAGTTTCAACAATAGTATCAAGACAGTAAGGGACATACCAATTATCACAATGATAGATATGATCAGGTGCTTGTTGATAAGAAGGATTCAGTGGAGGAGGGACAAGATGAGCAGTTAGCCTCATCAAATATGCAAGAACATTTTTGACCATGTGCAACAGAAAAAGTTAGAAGCATGTAATTGTACTGTGCAGTGGTCTGGTGACCCTAAATATCAAGTGGGTGCAAGAAGAGGTGACTAATATGTGGTGGATTTGGATAATCACACTTGTTCTTGCAGAAAGTGGGACTTGTCAGGCATTCCTTGTACTCATGGAATTGCTGCCATACATTATAAAGGAGGTAAAACTGTGGAGGATTATGTGCATTCATATTACAACAAGGACAGTTACATGGCCCTCTATAACAATCTCATTATGCCAATTAATGGATCACAGTTATGGGAGAAGACCAACCAGACAACAATAAAGCCACCAGCCTACACTAGACAACCTGAAAGACCTAGAAAGGTGAGGATAAAAGGAGCTGAAGAGAGAATAGATAAGACTGGGAAAAAATGGTTGGGAAGACAAGGAATGCAAATGAGGTGTAGTATTTGTGGCTCAACTAGCTATAACAAAACCACTCACCATCAGAATCTACCTCAAAAGGAAAAACCCCTATCAATGGGTAAAGGACGACCAAGAAAAATATCTAACCAAGACCCTGCAGTTGCTGCTATGAGTGCCTATAATTATTGCTAGGCTATTGATGAAATGTTATGTTGTTTCTTCCTTAAAATGGAAAAGCTATTTTATTATTTTATTGTTTGAAGCTGAAAGTGTTTTTTATTTGTAGGATAAAGCAAAAGCAGCTGCAAAAGTTAGGAGAAAGCTTGCATATACAAGGGCAAAGGCTGCTGCTGCTGCAAAGAAGGCTGCACTAAATGCTTCCCAGCCAAATGCAGCTGAAACTGCTGGAATAGGATTGAGAGCATCCAAGAGATAGAGAACATAGGCTCTTAGTTCTTAGTTTATGCAAATTCCATTTTATTTTGAACTAGTACAACTTCAGGTTTTGTGATGTGGCCTGATAAGTTTACTTTTGGTAGCTGTTTTATGTATTCCATATTAGGTGCTCATGTTCATTTTGTAAATTTGAGCTGCAAAGGTTGAAAAAGTATGTATGTATTTTGAACTCAAAATATAATGGAATTTGCCTTCAAGCAATTGTTCAATTGGAAATTCCCTAACAATTGTGCATATATAAACAGTCTGCATTTCCAAATTGCCTCACAATTGTTCATACATAAACATCTTTCATACAACTTCGCATGGGAAATTATAAGAAACAGACCTTTCATACACAAAGCACTTTGATTTTCCAAAATGTCCCACAAATGGCCACAAAAAAAATCGCCCAACTCTTCTAAGATCTAGACCCTAAAATGTAAGTGCTATTTTCACATTCTTGGAAGATCCAGAGTCTCTCCATTCCAGTACTAGCATTCCCAACAACACAATCAAAAAAATCCAAGAACCCAGAACACTTGCTCGTAGAAATCTTTGTGCTTTCAAGGCAGCTCCAACCTCTTTTTTCAATTTTCGATTTTCCTCTTCTTCCTTACACAATCGTTTCAATAGTCCAGATATCACAATCTTAGACCTTTCGCATACCTGTGGATCATACCATTCAAAGAATGCACAACCTCTTCTTACCCCATAATCGGCGCAGCCCCAAAATCTTCTCCCAGGGTTGTTGTCAGTCCACGACGTCGTCATACGACATTGATTGCCGCAATGACAAATGGGCTGCCCCACTTAGCATCTTTGATTTGCAGACATCATCGACCTCGTCGACATCGTCGTCTTTGTCTTCTTCGAATTGGAACCTGGGCATCCATTTCTATCGATTTGGGGGCTAGGTCTGAGTGGGGGCTTAGATATAGAACCCGATTTGGGGGTTTTCTGTTTTTCTTTTGTGAATTAACCACGTGTTATTTTGGGTGCGAAACCCAGGGACTTGAGCTGCCGAAAATGCCCTTAAAAAATCGTCCAGCTAGATGCCATGTAGGAAAATAATAGATTTCCTGACAAATTCGTTAACAGAGGAGGCAATCTGTCTGCGATGTTGAGTATGTACTCATAAATGTCCCTAAAATTATGTATGAACTCGTAAATGACCCTATAGGTTGAGGGGTTTACTGTGGTTTATCCATGAATTTTTCTTTACATTTTTTTAAAATTTCTTCTTTCTTCAAATTAAATTTATTCTTTTTTTGTTGTTCTAAAATGGGCTACAAAAGAAGGGCCTCAACTCAACGGGCTTGTAACCAATTTCGCTACATTCACATTTAGCTCGGGCCAGTCCTTCAAATACAATCTAGCTGAAAATTCAAACCGAAGCACCTTCCTTTCCTTAACCGGCAATGGCGGGTGCCCATTGCGCCACCTTCCCTTTCCTCACGCCTCCAATCTGCTCCGCCGCCAAACCAACCAAACCCATCCTATCAGCCTCTATTGCCGTACCATCAAAGCCCACACGACGGAAAAACTATCTGCGCCCGAAAATCCTCAAAACCCTAGCTGAACCCGACCCGCCACCTAGAACCCCTCTCCTTCCCGAACAACCCCTAACAAGCCCCGTAATTCCCATTGAGTCCCCCGTGACCCAATATGAAAACGACTCTAATCTCGAGCGTAGCTCCGACCAAGGCGACGTCGTTGCCGGAGAAGGCAATATGGTCGAGGAATTCAGCGTATCTGAGACGACCCCAGAGTATAATGGCATTGTTGGTAAATTATCTGCGAAGTCTGTCCTTAAATTTGGGGCGTATTTGGTTGGGGCTTATTTGTTTCAGGCGTTTTTTACTGTTTGGCTACTGGGAAATGACAATCCTGATGAGGAAAATAGGAAATCCAAGAGTTCAGGTTTAAGTTTATCCAAAGGGAAAGTTTTGAATACAAATGTTGGGTCTGGATTGAGCAATGTGGTTTATTTGGATGAGCTCCAGTTGGATGAGAAAATAGAAGAAATTAGAGCAATGGCAAGAGAAGCGCGAAAGCAAGAGAAAAAGGAAGGGAAGGGAAATGTTGGCGACGAAGATGATGTTATTGATGAAAGTTCGATGCCAAGGAATAGAATCGGCATTGAAAAAGAAGTCGAGGAGCGGTTGCTTAAGTTGCAGAATAGGTTGAATTCTAAAAGGGAGAAGTTACAGGGTCCATATGTGAAAGACTTTGGGAAGCATGAGAATAGTGAAGATGAGAATTTGAAAGAGGGGGAAGGGGGATTGATGTTTAAGAAAAAGCTTAAATTTAAGGCTGAGGCGAAAAGAAGTCCCAAGGGATTTGGAGGTTTGGAAGAGCAAGATGAAAACCGGCGAGAGACGGATTTCGAACAAAGTGTTTCTGAGACTTTGGAGGAAGAACCCAAATTGTTGCAAGATGATGGGAACCATTTGGACAAAGGAACTGGAAAAATGGATAGTGGAAAGGACATAGGAGTTGGAACTATTGAACCAAAGAATGGTAAAGTTTTTAAATTGCACAAAGACCGGTTTGTTGTTAGTCTGGCTGTTTTATTGATTTGCTAAATTTTAGGTACCGTCCAGAGGACAAGACGAGGGAGGTCATCTGAAGGACTAAAGTCAAAAAAATCAAGAGAGTTGGGGAAGAAAAAGTCTCGCTTGAAGAGAGAAGTCCAAGAAACTACCATAAAATCTGGTGATCATGTAAATGGCAGTTCAAGACACAAAGAAGCTGGAAAGGAACCAGTGCCTAACAAAGTCAGTGGCAATAGTTCGAAGAATGAGATTGATCCATGGTGGTTGGATCTTCCTTATGTTTTGGTACGTCGTGAAACTTTTCTATATTTACTATATATTTTTAAAATTGTGCTGCCTGTTTAGCAATTGGACTTTGTTGCATTTGACCAAGCCATCTTAGGTAACCATTTAACTTTACTTACTCATTGGTGCTACCATAAAATTTTCATGGATGCTTACAATTCTAGCTTATGCTTTATGATTTTGTTAGTCATTCTATAGTGCCATTTTAGCTGTATTTCTTTTCCCTTTTATGCCCCGTTATGAATTTCATTTACAAGTTTTACTCATCAAACCAATAAACTCTGTGTTTTGGTATCTTATTTTTGTGTTCGGGTAAGCATTTTTGTCTCCAACCGACAATCGAAATAGTATGTATCCCATGCCAGGTTATTCTGATGCGGAGAGGTTCTGGTAGTGAGGGGCAAGGAGGACTTTATACCTTAAAGTTCAGTTCTCAGCCCCAAAACCAGAGAGATTCTTCATATACTGTTGCTTTCGAGGACCGTGCTGATGCCAATAACTTCTGTTTCCTATTGGAATCTCTGTTTGAAGATCTGGGTGATTTCAGTGCTGATATTGCTCCTTTGCCAAACAAAGTAAGAATTATAATTTGATTTTAGAAAAGTTTAAACTTACCCATATCAAATCTTTATGTTTGAGTCGCTATTGTATTGTCCAACATACTGTGACACCTTTTAAAATTGTCTCAAAGACAGCTTCCCATTGGACATGCCTTTTTTCTTTCATTCTTGTCATCTGTGCTAAGCTGAGAAAGGGGCTTTATTTTTCGTAGGAACTTCGTGAAGCAATAAAATCAGATAACATGAAGGTAATATTTGTGAAAAAGGGGCAGCTTCCGCTGTATGCCGGGCAACCTTTTGAAGAAGTTGAGATGGCTTTGCGCTCTTTGGTTGAACATGATTGAAATTTTGGTTTTTTTCCTGTTTCAAGTGCTGCCTCCAATCAGGGTGGCTTTTGGTTTTAGGGTTCTATAATTTCTGATGTTAAGATGGCTTGGGTCTCCCTAATCTCAACTGAAGGTTTGTTAGGGTAAACTGTGAATATGTTTGTGGTTGTGGAATATGCAAGAGCAGATATGAATGACCCAGTTGTCACAAAATATAGCGAAGGGTGCAGTTTTTACTCATAGGGATGTCTTTTTATTTCTTTCTTTTCAATCAAATGATTTCAATGGGAAATCTTTCAAACGTAGGATTCATATAGCTTAGATGAGTTATGTTTGACTTTCTCACTTGTACATATATTGAGCAGCTGATTTTAATCTGCTGGTGAAATGAATTTAATCTGTTTTTGGGATATTGAGCAGATGATTTTAATCTGTTTGTGAAATGAATTTAATCTGTTTTTGAGATATTGAGCAGATGATTTCAATCTGTTTGTGAAATGAATGGCTGGCTTGCAATTGTGGCATGTTGTAGTTGCACACACCAGAAATTACTCATAATTTGTTGCTGGCTGTAGAAGACTAGGTGCACTAAAAATATTGTAGACAAATAAATTACTGATAATTTATGCACAAAGAGATTATAGATCGCTGTCATCACTTTTTTGGTCTCTTGGTTGGCTTGTAATTAACAATGAAATTTCATTAAGAAGAAATTTACATGAAACTGGAAGATGTATGTAAACTCATCTTCCCTTTCATTTTACCAGTAACACTCCTAATATAGTAGCTGCTACCAGGCTGCTTCTACCAGCAGAATCACTGGCCAAAGTAGCACTCAGACTATAGCTGCTTCTACCAGCAAAATCACTAATCACTATCTTCTAAGCTCTACTGAGAAGAAGTAATTTTGACCATGGACTGAGCATGAATTGGTGTCAAATTAGACTGGCAAAAGTTTAGCCATATCTCCTGCTTCTCTTCTTCATTCTCTGTATAGGCATTGTACACCGAAAGCACAATACCCCGTGCCGCTTCCCTTGCTTCTGGCAGCCTATCATTCAACAAATCTGCAGCCATTTTAACCAAAGAGACCAGCCCATAATCCTTCATTCCTTCAAGCCCCTGAAATTGGTAGAAAACCCCCATTTTGCTTAAGAAAAAATGGTATGCTTAGAAGACAAGAGAACACTTCATTTTTTTTAAAGTATTTACCATCTTAGAGACACAAGCTGAGACGGAAACGGCAGCTTTGGCTCTGACTCTGGGGTTGGCATGGGAAGCATAGGCTCGAAGCTTTTGAAGCAAAGGCAGAGGAGTCAAAGACTGCACCATTGTGTTCAGGGTCCTATCTGCTTCTTCGCACACAAACCGTTTGTCTTGAGACGCTTTCAGCAGCAGTTGCAGCAGCTGTGAACCAATCAAACAATCCAAGCCGTTCATCAGAATATAACAAAATGATGATCAAAATATGATCATGGAAAAGGAAATTAAGAAAATCAAAAATAGTATTGGGTGCACACCAATTGATCAAATGCAGCAGAGGTGGCAGAGTCAAATAAACTGTCACCAAAGGCCTTAAAGATATCAAACGACGCCATAATGGATGTCTTGCATAAAGCACTTCTGGGATTCTTCATTGCCTTAACCATCACCACCATAACTTTCTCTCTGTTCATACCACAATATACATGTTAACAAAGCCATCACTGACAAAAAGACGTTGATTTGTTCACTAATTACAGCAAACAATAGATTAAAGAGAAGAAAAGGCACTTACAGAGTAGGAACCAAAAGAGCAGAGTGATAGAGTGCAAAACGCCTAACATTGTTCAGAGACTCGCACACCTTCACCCAATCCTTTGAATCTAATCCCTCATTCAAGCTCTGAAATTCCAAAAATTGAAGAATTTAGTGCCAAATTCCAGTTGGGTTTGTTCTAAATTACAGAAAGAAATAAAAGAAATTTGGAAAATTACCAGAATCTTGAAATCAGGGTCTGAGATGGGTTTGAGATTCTCAGAAGAGATATAATCAATGGTGGCATCAATGGTTGCTGCAGGAAGTGGAGCCTGGTTTTCATCATTGACCCCAAACTCGGGTTGCTTTTGAATTGAAACAGGAACTTTGGTTTGCTTTTTGGGCCTTTCTGGTGTGGTTGGAAGAGCATTATCGATGGGCCTGAGAGCCATAGCCATTGAAATCGCAGAAAAACGCAGAGAAGGAACAAAGAAGAGGAAGAGATAGAGAGAGATGGGACTGGAAATCTTTGGGGTTTTGAGAACGAGGAGAATGAAGGTTTGGTGGAGGGGTTTGATGATACAGATAAAGAAAGTAAAATATTGTTTACCTTTCTTTTGAAAAATTTGAAATTTGAAAAGCTGTAAAAAGATCCGTTGGACCCTCCTGTGTTAACGGTTGCATTAACGAAGCGCATCATACGCTACACTCTGGTGCACCGTGGCTATATTTCAAATTTCCATACCGTTAAGACACGTGGCATGAATATGATGGCTTTGCTTCCGCTTCAGCCAGAGGGTTTTTTTCAAAAAATTTATATTTATTTTAGAATTAAAAAAATAATTTATATATATAAAGCAAAAGGCAAAGAATGGTTTAGACATTCAAAATATCAGAAAATGCCCTTGATTAATGCAAACATTAAGAATTGAAATTATTAATTAAATGAGAATAATATGGTAAATTCACACTTTTTCATATAAAAAAAATTAAAATTAAAAGAAAATTCAAATAATAAATCTTATTTTTTGAAAAACAATTACTCATTATTTTTTTAATTCAAAAATAAAATACCAGAAAACAATTACCCATTATAATCGTTGACCAGTGGGTAGTTGTATTCCATAAAAATAGAATCTATTATCTAATTTTCCTTTTAATTAGCTATTGGGTGTCACATATAAAATTTACCTATGCTTAGGAGGAAAGAGAAAAATTTACAGAAAAAGATGACCTGCCCAACGACTGTATCCAACATAGGCCATCTACCATACAACCCAAAATTTTGCCCTCTTTGTAGGGGAGGGGGGCTGCTCCAAGAGGCCCATTAACTCAATTGAACCGAGTATCCGGAATAATTGGCAAGGCACCGTATTCAATCAAGAACCATTGGTTCTCAAAACAAAACTCATGCCACTGAATAACTGCGACTGAAGTTAGCGTTGCAAAGAGTAAAATAGGTCGGGAAGAAAGAGTCCGAGGTTGGGCCAGACGACATACATCTTGGAAGGAAGGTTCATTCTCTTCAAACTCAGTTTCCTTGACATCCCACAACCGAGACAAATTCGAAACACTCTATACCTGCAACCATAAGTATTTAGTCAATGCAAGGGTTGCATCAATAGAACTCTTGCTACAACATCAATACATAAAAATGGTCGAAAACTGAATCATTTGTTTTGAGAATTTAGAATCATGGAAATTTGAAAATCTGCCAGAACCCCATCAGCACAAAAGGAAAAGGGAGAGAGAAAAGGCCAACAGCTGCCAGAAGAATTACACATCATTCACACAGCTTTCCTCTACCAAACTCTGTATTTTGTATATTATGCATGCGCCAAAAAGCAAAAGACAATATTGAGCACACATGCACTAAAACACCATAGAATTCTAGATTTTAAAAGTTACAACCCTGAATATTCAATTCATCAGAACATTTTATTCAAATGTGAATCAGGAGGAATAACATGTTGGCATAGTCCCAAAAGTCATGAGACTCAGGATTTCTATTCCAGATACATGCATCCAATTTCAGTAACTACAATTGTAATCGTAAAGGAGTTACCTCTATAGAGAGCGACTTCAATCATGTTAAGGAATTGATGGAACAAAGACTTTTCAGGAAAAGAAAAAAAAAGATCTCCCATCCCCCAATATTTGCTCCATCAGCATGAATGCACGAGAAGGCACCTTGTGTCATCACCACTCACTGAGCAAAACACATCTACTAATCCCTCCAGTAAATTGCACGATATGCAATTTTACCATGATCTTGAAGCATGTTGAGACTTTGCAGTTTCCCTAAGCACAGCACCGACAATTGCTGCCTGCTCAAGGCATTCAGCCTTGTGCAAGGCATCCAACAGAACAACACATGTCTTGGTATGAATATGACAACCTTTCTGCCGAGTTTCCTCAAAAAGTGCATATGCTTCCATTGCCCTATTTCCACTACTTAATCCTTCTATCATAGCATTATAACTAGCAGAATCGAGAATGCCACCACTGGCTTTAAACCTCTCAAAAAGCCCACTAGCATCTCTTATGTTCCCAGCCTTTGCAAGTCCGGATATCATGGTGGTGTAGGTGATTGTGTTGGGCTGTAACCCTTGTTTCTTCATCTCTTGCCAGTACACAAAAGCCTTATTGAATTTTCTAACTCTACAAAGACCATTTATGAGAATGCTATAAGTTACATGGTTGGGTATACATTGCAAGTCTTTCATGGATTGAAAGCAGACAATGGCTTCATCAATTTCACCAGCTTTCACAAGTGCATCAAGCAAGCAATTATATGTGTAAACATTAGGTGCCAAACCTTTCTGCATTAGCTCTTCCATGATTAGATATGCTTCATCAATTCTACCCACCTTCCCAAACCCATCAACAAGACTACTATAAATAATTACATTCAATTCTACTCCTTTTGACTTTGCTTCTTCAAAAAGCATGTATGCTTCATCAAGTCTGTCAATCTTGGCAAGCCCGTCAATGACAGAACCATAAGTAACAACTGTGGGCTGGTGACCCTTAGTTTTCATTTCCTCCAGCAGCTGGTATGCTTTATTCACCTTTCCACATTTGCAGAATCCATCAATGATGGCATTGAAAGCACGGGTGTCCAAGACACAGCCTTGATCCTTCATCGCATGAAATAATTCATAGGTTTCATGTGCCAAACCTGCTTTTACAAGGCCATGAATTAAGATTGAATAGCTCCGCACGTCCGGGATGAATCCTTGAGCCTTTATCTCCTCAAACAAAAATCTACCTTTGTCAATTTCACCAGCCTTGAAAACACAATCCATATAGGTGTTAAGAAGCATCAGATCAGGAGAACAGCCCCTACGCACCATTTCTTTGTATACTTTGTGACCGTCCTCCTTTCTGCCACACCTGAAGAAGTTCCTGATGAGGGATGTATATACAATAGCATTTGGAATCTGATCAGAATCCAGCATCTTCTCATAAAGCCTGTAGGCATTATCTACCTTTCCTTGTTTACCCAAGCCATCTATAAGAGAACAAAACGTAACTGCATCTGGTGTGCAAACTTTGTGATCCATTCCTTCAAAGATAGAACAAGCATCATCAAGTTTCTGAGCTTTACAGAGTCGATCAATCATTATGTTTACAGTCATAACATTAGGATATAAACCAGCTTCT